GAAGTCGGGCTCTGCTCCCAGGGAACAAGGGACAGGATGAGAGGGAACAGCCTCAAGTTGTGTCAGGAGAGGTCCAGGCTGGATATCAGGAAGAGGTTCTTCGTGGGAAGGGTGATTAACCACTGGAATGGGCTTCCCAGGAAAGTGGGGCAGTCACCATCCCTGGAAGTGTTCAGTGAGTGACTGGGCATGGAACTCAGTGCTCTGGTCTAGTTGACAAGGTGGGGATCAGTCAAAGGTTGGATTTGATGACCTTGGAGATATTTTCCAACCTCTGTGATTCATCAGAGCTGTGACCCACTTGTCCTCTCCTGCCTTCACTGGGGATTTTCATCCTCCACAGAGAGGATGGTTCTGCAGATTTCAGACTGTTTCACAAGCCCTGGTGCCTTCAGCCCTCAGACCCGTGGGCTGTGGGTGGGGAAACTCAGCTGCCTGTACAAAACAAGGGGCATGGCTTCTTCAGGACAGAGATAAACCCAGCTGGAATTAAACAAATCAACAGGAATCCTTTGGATACCCTCCCTTCTCAGGGAAGATGGTCAGTGTGAGGGAAAGCATAGGTGAGGTGACATCACACAGCGTCCCTAAGTGAAGGTGGAATGATTTAGAAGGCACAACATGTGCCAACTGACCTTGTCCATGTCCCATGTTCTACTTCTGTCACCCAAGGGGACAGCAGAGCACAAATGGTTACTGGAAGAAAATCACCACCACCGAGTGAAAATACACCAAAGCCACAGGAGAGCAGGACAGCAGGACCAGAGCAGGCATTCCAAGGAGATCAGAATGACTAAGACAGATCAGTCTTGCCTTGGAGCAGTTTTGTGCTGCACAAGAGGTACATGGAGTTCACGTCTCACTCGTGGAAGTGCCTGGGAGCTGCCAGGGTTCACTTGCTCAGCACTGACATCTGCCCTCAGAGTTGGTTCTCTCTGAAGCCTCAGCCCCAGGACTCTGTCAGCAGTCACCCCACATCACCCCATGCCCTGTCTCTGCGTGGATAACGAGGCAGAGTGTTTACTGTGAAAGTGTGTGGCAAAACATGTCACAACCCCGTGTCCCTGCCAGCACAGGCTCAGGGCACATCCCAGTTACAGCATCATCCCAGCTTTCCATTGAGGGCATGCAAATGGAGCCTGCAGAGCAGAGAACTTCCCAGGAGAGACACTCAGGAGGAGAACCCGTGCATGTTCCACACCAGTGCTGAGTTTTATTCAGCCTTTTAAATTACCAGTCATCCATTTAGTTCAGGTCCTATTTACACAGGACTGCTGCTCAACTTTAAAGGGAATTATGTGCATAATTCTCTTTAAGGATGAGCTTTAAAATAGCTCTTGATGTTTTATTTGTAATCCAATCAGACACTGAAAGCGTGTGTGGGGGAAAGCCTCATCCTCTCTTCCTACACCAGTGCAAATCCCACCAGCTCCTAATCCCTCCACATGCAAAAGAGAACATTAATAAAGGAAACCTTTGCAAACAGTTTCACAGTCAGGTGAGTGAACAGTTGGCAAAGCAGCAGCATCCAAAGGGAAAGGCAGACAAACACCTAACCCAGCACATGCCGCTGAGGTGGGTGTGTGCATGGGAACATGTAGCAACAAGGGATGGAGGAAGCTGGAGAGCATTCCCCCTCCATCCAGAGAGAGAAAGGCAGCTCAACCCACTGCCAGCACACCCTGAAAGTTTGCATGGAGAGAGAGAGAGACTTGCAGGATGGGGTTGGACAGGAACTGGAATCCCAGCAGCTTCCAGGTGGTCACGGCTGTGTCTGCTGAAACTGCAGCAGCAGCAATCAGAATTCCTAAATCAGTCTATCAGTAATTACACCAGGAACAAAAACTCCCCCCAACGAAAGGCCTGGCATGCAGCAACTCCTGCACTGCAAACCTGTCCTTCCTAAAAGCTCAGACAGCTCTGTTCACACCCAAACCTGTGTTTTGACCTCACCCCCTTCCCCAGCTGGTCACTGAAGACCCTCACCCAAATGTTCACACTCATATCCTCATTTCTTACACCTTCAGTGCCTGAAATTGTCTCCCCTTCTTAGAATAGATAGTTATAAAAGCAGAAATCACTAAAACTGTGGAAGATAATGAATATATTCTACACCCCCGGTAGAAAATCCTTTTCCCAGCCCAGGTTTCACTGGGTAATAAGCTGAATAGTTCTGCCCACAGCTGTGGGAATCAAGAGGTACCAACTGCAGCAGTATCCACAAATCCTGGAAAGTCATATTTGGGATCTCTCTGCTTGCTGTTCATGCTGAAACCTGCCCTGCCTTGATGGATACACAAGAGGACATGATGGAGCATTATTAGAGGGTCCAAATTCAAAGTTGCTATTGAACAGACAGAGGTGAAGCTGTAAATGGACAGCTCATACCCAGCAGGGCTTGTTTACGTAATAAAGACTCATAAGAGCTATTTGAAATTAGAGTAACAAAGGATTCACTTCAAATATCAGGAACTTCTGAGGCTGGAAGCAGGAGAACCACGAGGTTCCCAGTCAAACAAAGCCTCGGAGATCATTTCTTGCAGTGGCCACGTTCCAAGGTTTTTGGTGCCAGCTTTGAAAATCTGCTTCTCTTCTCATGGCCACGGGGTTGCAGTTTGGTCCTTTCTGCACCAAAAAAAAAAAAAAAAAAAAAAGCCAGGCTGATTTCTGTTTTACTGTGGATGTAATCACAGATTGTAAACAAGCAGTGAAAACTATTCAACATATGGGAGGATGGAAGGGAATAGAAAGATGAGAAATCTCTGCTGTGATTTACTGCCCCATAAATGCAATGACTCACAGCAGCAATTTCCTGCTTGCAGTTGGCCAAATTCTCCCACCTATGCAAGTGTTGAGGAGTTCCTTTACTGCTGCCTCATCCTACTGACTTGCACAGGACCATTTCCAGAATAAAAGTGTCTCCTGTCACTGAGGGACCGGCTCCTGGCTCCAGCCTGACCTACACTCACACATTCAATAAGGAAAAGGGAGTGAAACGAAAGGAAAATATTTACCAAAATAGAGCAGGATGTGTCCTTAGCTAAAAACAGACACTCCTTGTGGCTGTCTCAGCATCAGAAAGGTAGATAACCTTTTAACTTCTGAAATATCCTTTAACAAGTCCCTTCCCTTCAGCAAACAGGTTACAATTCACTAAGGAATAAACTGGAATACTGGCTCTCCGTGTCTTTAATCCCTGAACACGACCTGCAGGGCCCTGTGGATTCCACAGGGATAAGAGAGAGCCCTTGCCAGGTGAAATCCCTGTGGATGTGGATGCAGCAGCCCCATCCACTCCTGTTTTCCAGCTCCAAATGCAGTTCCATTACTAGACAGTGAATGTGTGGGGCAGGGAGCCAGGTAACAGCCCTCCCAGTGCCTCTGCAATGCAGATCAGTTCCTTGTTCTACAAGCAGATCAAATCTCCTTTGATCAATACCTGAATAATCCTTTCAACATCCCTGAGCCTGCAGTTATTGCTCCCAGCACAGAGAAAGCAGGAGACAGGGGATTGTGCAGGTCAGGGAGAGGAGTCACTGCCCAGTTTAAACTCAAACACAGATTTGATATTGTCCTTCTAAATCTGCCCCAGAAAGTCTGGCTCCTCTCTGCTCAGCCTGATCCATAAGGTGATATTGCCTGGGAGTAAAGCTGGAATGCCTTCCAGGGCACAGCCAAGGAAGAAGATGCATTTGATAAGCGCTGTAATCTTTTTTTCCAAACTAGATACTTATCTAGTTATCTGCTTGTTGAGCTGAAGTGGCAAGAGCCCACAAGATGGTACAATGAAATACATTTCCCAGGGACATGAGGATGGATTTTAAATGTGATCCTGAGGCCTCCTTGTGACAGGGAAACAGATTCCCTACAAGAAGTGTCCCCATTTGTCATGGTCTAACCCCACAGGAATAAAACACCCCACAGTCACAGCTCACATCCCCTGGTGGGATGGGGAGGAGAGCTGTGAAAAGGCAAAAAAAAGCTCTGGGTTGTGATAAGAACAATTCTATAATTGAAATAAAGTAAATAATAGAAGTGAAAATAACAATAATAAATAGTAATGGGAATGAGAGAGAGGGGAGAGAGAGATAAATAAACCCCAAATAAAGCAGGTGAACACAATACAGTGTCTCAGCACCCACTGCCCAGCCAGTCCCCCACAGCTTCTTCTGCCCCCCCTCACTGAAAATTCCTCGATTTAGGGTAAACTCTACTGAGCAACAACTGCAACATCAGCGTGGTGTGAACGTTATCCTCACACTAAATCCAAAGCACAGCACTGCAGCAGCTGCTAAGAAGAAAACTAACTCTGTCCCAGCTAAAAACTGAGAAAAGAACTCCCAAAACTTCAGGATCACTTGTTTGCACAGTCCTGTCAACCACTCCAAGCCAGAGGTTCCTTTTCCCCACCCGTGCATTTTGCAGTAAATCAACTGGAATTTAACTTTTCCTTTTCATGCATAAAGAAAAAATATTTTTCAACCTGTAGCTAAGCTTTTCCTGGGAAAAGTAATTTCTTCATCAGCTGCTCGGGATTGTTAGGAAAGAGGGTGGAGCCTTCCCAGGCTGAACCATACCTGAGTATAAAGAGCAAGGGAGAACTGCAGCCAAGAAACTCTCAAAAGCTGCTTCCAGTGGCTGCTGGGATTCCAAAGCTGGTTTTATTCTGCAACTGCAACAACTTGCTGCTCGAAAGAGAGGAGGGAAGCTGGACCCAGCTCCCAGGGGCTAATTACATTGGAGAATTAAATACAATTACCGTGGTCTCAATGTGAAACTGGATTGATTTTTATTTTTTTTTTTTAACATAACTGAAAAGGGGTTTTTTCCCTCCACTCTTCTTTTTTTCCATCTTTTTTTCTGCCCACCCAGTGGAAATGTTGCAAACTGTCTGCGTGAGTCCTGAGCTGCTGGTCAACCAAAACATGGGTGAACCCGAAATCTGTGGCTACAGCCCAGGCCAGGGATCTCCACTGCCTGGAGAAACTGCCAGTCCCAAAAGCTGTTTTCAACAGAGCCCGTCGCTGCCAGATTCTGGATTAACTGAACTGAATGTTGCCAGTCCCCAGCTCTGCCCTCCTCCCTCACGTGAACCCCGAGAGATGTCTGCTCCTGCTGGTAAGAGAAACCCTTTATTCACATTCTCTGCTCTCTGCTTCTTTCACCACCTGAGAAGGCACAGTGGGCTGGGGGCTCCCCTGGTGCCAGCCCAGAGCTCCTGTGCCAGGAGAATCAAAGATGTTCAGCACGTTCTCCTGCTCAGCCCTGCTGGCATTTTTGTTGTGTCCTGCTGCTGAAGCCAGAAATTACCCTGTTTTGTAGAGGATGCTCAATACCCCACCATTCCTGTCCACCTCCAGCACTTTGCTGCTCGTTTACATTCCAGTTCTGAATCGAACAGCAAGGTAAAAGGTGTGACCTTCTGAGTGATTAACTTTCCAAAAGTGTGTTTGGTGAATCATTGCCTTTTGTAGAGTCTTCAGCTTCTAGGATGCATCTGGGCATGTAACCTCATCCATCATACAGCATTTTTTTACTGGAAAATCTTTTAAGACAACAATATATTAGCAATTTTTAGAAAGCTTTGCAGGGAGGCCTTTAAAATACCCTACAAATAGTAAATAATTCATTGTCAAAACACCAGTCCAAAAAAAAAAAAAAAAAGATCATCTCCATATCTAGCATAGTCTGAGAAATAAACTATGTTTTTTGAGGTCTCTGTGCTTTAATTATTCAGTGATAGGTTAAACACTGAGAAAAGCCAGAAATCTTAGCACAAAGCAACAATTCCATATGTGTTCCAAAGGCACCATTTGCTGCTGGGGATTCAGAGGCTGCTGCTGAAGGGGTGTCAGCTCTCAGCGCCCGGGGCAGGGAAGGGAAACAATACCACGCAACTAGAAACCACATCTTGTGTGGCTGGTTTCCATGCCAATCCTGCCTCCTCGGAGACATCCCGAGCCCGGGGAGCTGCACTGCTCCCATCTGCTGAGCTCCCAGGGTTCTCCTCCCCGGGATTTAGCCGGAGTCCAGCAGCTGCTGCAGAGAACTCCCAGGGATTTGGGAATGTGGGTACAGGCACCCCGTGGGTTACTCAGCGCTGGTTCCTCCAGCAGCAGGATCCGCTCACCCCGTGCACCTCTCTCACTTTAGGCTGCTGTGTTAACATAAGTGTGTTTAATCACAAGTGCTGGTTTTCCCTGGGCTGGGAAGAGGAGCTTCTCCCTGCTCCAGCCAGCGTTGCTGCCGGATGACTCCTCGCTCCGTATCCCACGCTCTCATTCCCAGCACTCGGGCTCCTCTGGAGCAGTGGCTTTCTCCAGGGTGTATTTGATGTGCTCACCAAGTGGGAAGACCGTGATCTAACGCATTAAACCCCCAATTTTGTAGTGTTACTGAATCCATTCTGTATGAAGAAGACTATTCCCGAGTGGGGGGGGGACACAGGACAGGGACACCAACAACAGTGTTACATAAAAGGTGTTTCAAAAGCAAATGCATTTAAGCTCCTAATCTGGGCAAGTCTTTCAAGTTTGGGGATACAAGTACAAGAAGACATAACACAAACAGTCACAGAGCAGCTTGTTTTGACAAAGACCAGCTTGTTTGGACAACAAAATATATTCTCAAATAACTATTTAGTTTGAGTAGGGAAAATCGTTGTTTCCCTTTGGATCACACCACGCTGACTTGCAAACACACTGAGAACCACTAAGCCACGGGACAGAGCATCACTGGCTTGGTCCTGAAACCATGGTGTTCCTTATTGCTCCCCTGATAACAGTACAACAAACCACAGGGCAGGAAACTGCCAAGCCAGGCTTACCACAACACAGGAAAATTAGAACATGACTAAGAGGGCCAGAGATCTAAACTGTGCTGACACATTCCCCAAAAGCAAACACGTGTTCCAGGTCACTGTGGCATCCCTCAGATAAAGGGCACAGAGAAAAAACGAGAAGGAATTTATTAAAGGAATTTTTAAGCAGAAAGGAGGGCCAGAGTTGTTTCCCCACAACTGATGATGAACGTTGGAATCACAGGTGGTCCCTCAGGGCCACCTCATCCTCCCACTCTTCTAACTCACAGAACTGTGTTACTTTAAGCATCGTGTTATGACTTTTCCAGACTCTGAACTTAGCTCTGATCCCCCTCAGAAGCGCTACATGGGTGTGAGAGTAAAGATGCCAGTGCGGGAATTACTGAGGAATATTCGGCTTTCCAAAGGCTTGGACCCAGCTCACAGCAAGGTGAGGACTCTCTGAGTTTAGAAAATCCCAGCCTGGTGCACACACATCACACTCCCAGCGTCCTGGAGAGGTTACACCTACGGCTGCTGCCTCTCCCAGCCACCAAACCTTTGGGTGAAGGTGGAGAATATACCAAATTTTGAACAGGGTGAGGGCCTGTGATAGGAACAGTTCTGAGGGAGTGACAGCAAGGACCACTCATGCCATAGATCATGGAATCAGGCCAAAGGTGGCCCAAGAACCAACAACAATAATGCTCCAGCAGCCCAGGTTTCTGAACAACCTGATAAAACAGCCCAGGGAGGTCGAGGACTCCCAGATGCTTGGTTTGATGTAAAGATCTTTATAAGGCTGCCATGAATTACCCACCCATGGAAATCTATTGCCCCACAGAATCTGTGCTGAGCAAAATAAGGTGGCACAGCAGACAGCTGACTTTGTTCATGTCACAGTGTTTGCCACTGTTTCATCTCCTCTCCTGTGTAACCATCTCAAACTGAGTCGGGTGGTTTTGTCTCCCCAGGAAACCTCATCAATGAAGATGGTAACCAAAGGATCCTCGGGAAAAACAGGTTTGGAAACTCCTTTCTGGGTAACAGAGCCTTGTTTTCCAGTAGGATTATCCATGATAGATACCCAAAGAGCCAGAACAATTCTCTCCCATGATGTGTGGAATCACAGAATCAATCAGGTCGGAAAAGACCTCTGAGATCATTGAGTCCAACCTGTGATTCCCAGCTCCCCTTAAACCACAGGAGGCAGGTTAGCTGTGCATCACCACCATGTGTGTGTTACCTGTTATCTGGGGCAGAACTTCTGATGGGAATATCTCCTGTGTGTATCTCTCCCCTCATCAGCTCGAGATAACTTGTTTCTTCCTTTCTTTCCAGCAGAGAAGAGAAGAGCTCACCCTTATACAGAGAAACAACTTAGACAGGTATGCATAACACCTTCAGGCCCGCTCTGCCAGCCTCCTGGGGCATAATTCCTGTTCTATCACCGAGGGAGAACAGGACACTTCATGCCTGATTTCCCTCCCCCCTCTTCCGCCCTCCCCGGTTTTGTTGCTGTTTCAGAGCAAGCAGAGCGTTGGGCAAACCCTGAAAGGCTTAGAGGACCTTGATATCCTGGTGGAGGTGCTGCAGGAGGATCTGAACAAAAGCCAGCTGAAGGAGGAGTCTCTGTGCCCCGTGCCAGCTGGGTTTGGGCAGGGCTTCTCCCCGGATCCGCCAAGCTCCCGGTGGGAACCTGCGGGGAGCAAGGAGAGGCAGCACAGCTCCACCAGGCTGCACCCAGGCTGCTGCTTTAAAGATTTCCACCCAGCACCGAGGGGAGTGGCAGAGAATTCTTTCCACGGTGACCAGAAAAACGTGCAGGTGCCCAGCTCACCTGGAACGTCCTCGAGGATGAGGGAGAAGGAGAGCAGCTGGTGGATCCAGGGGGCACACGCAGGCTCCCTGGAGGAATTCCCGAGGAATTCTTCCCAGAACACACCTGCACACTTCAACCCATCAGAGGTGCTCCTGGGAGCTCACACGGGCTCTGCAGATGCTGAAGTTGGACACCTGAAGTCGGCCCCAGTTTCTTTCAGCCAGCAGGACCTCTCTGCCATCTCCTTCTTCCAGTTCCAGCTGCACAGGGAAGAGAGTTTGCTGAGAAACATCCCAGCGGACAAACTGCTTGCTCCTGATGAGAATGGCAACAGGTCTCCACATTTTTTTTTTACTGAAATACATTCATTTGTATTGAAATTTACTGGGAGGAGCAAAAAATCCTGGCAGACAAAATCAGCAACTCCATTGCTAATACAGGGACTAAATAAATGCTTAAATATCCCAAGATTCTGGCATTTGCCACCCTGAACGTTTCATGCTTTAAAATACATTCTCCTTGTTAATTCTGAGTATTTTAACCACTGTTTTACCTTCTAATTGTTCCAAATTGAGTTCTATTCCAGGCTGCTGCACAAGGCTGTTGCTCAGGGAAGAAGAGCTCTGACTTATGCCCTGGCACAGAGATTTGCATCCCTAAATAAGATCGATGAGAAGGATGCAGAGAAACGGGTAGGAATGATAATTTTCCAGGACTAAGGTCATTTTCTGTCTCATCTCTCAAACCCCAGTCGAGCTCCAAGCGTCCTTTGGGACAGGGTATCCTGGAAAAGAAGGGAAAACAGGAACAGGGAGGGAGTGATGGAGCAAGTATTAGCACAAGTCCCAACTCTTCACCTCATTCTCTAACAAGCATTGTTGTTTTAAAACTACTTCTTGACTTTCACAACAACTATTTTTTGCCTTTCACACCAACTTTTTCCCCTTCTTCCCTTCCCAGACTGCCTTACATCTTGCTGCAGAGAAGAACCAGCACCTGATGGTGAGTGACCTGATATCCCTGGGGGCCAATGTCAACGAGCAGGACAGCTGTGGGAAAACTCCACTCCACCTGTGTGCACAGAACGGATACTTGAGGGTCTTAGAGGTGAGTTTTCGTTGGGCAAAGGGGTTTAAAATATACAGAGGGTTTCCATAGCTGAACATTAGCTTTGGTAATAGATGGAGTCAGGGGAGGAGGGGGTATTTTGGCACTGCCAAAGGTCAGGAATTACCTGGGTGTTCTTCATTTCAGGTTTTGAAACACTGCAAAAACAATGGGGTGTGTGTGGAAGTCGATCTGCCCGACCACTATGGTGAGAGGAAAAGCTTAAGCACGCAGATGCTCAGTGCAGACTCCAAATGTAGAGAGAGGGATTTGCTCCAGGGAGGGGCTCAGGCGCTGGGTTTGACATTCCCACGGTCTGTTCTGTCCAGGTTTAACCCCTCTGCACTGTGCTGCTCTCGCCCACACTGCCTTGGTGACAGAATCCCAAAAAACCCCCGCGGACACCGACATGGGGAGGTTCCTCAGACTCCGGCAGGACCAAATCCTGGAGGGAATTCAGTGCCTGCTGCAGATGGGAGGGAAGGCTGAGCTGCAGGTGAGGACAGAGCAGGCTGTTCTGGGGCCTTGGCTTTCCTCACTCCCCTGCAGTCACAGCTCTGCTGTTCTTTGCAGGCACCGAATCCCTGTCCAAGCCCCACGACGTGCCTGAAGCCGGAGGAGAACACGGAGCTCGTGGCTTTGCTCCGGGCTCACAGAGCCCAGGGACAGCCCAGCCTGCAGGAGGTAACTGGGGCTGAGCCCCACGGGCTCTGGGATCCAGCCCAGCAAATTCAAGGCAGGGATGGAAGCCAAACCACCCTGGCAATACAGCAGATGATGCTCCAGCCTTGCCCTACCTTGCACGGGGCAGAAAATCCCCTTCTCGTGGAAAAAGCACCGCACAAGCTCTTTTATCACCCTTCTATCCCATCCCAGCTCTAAGGACTGTTATATTTGTATATATAGAATCAAATATTGCCTTCTCTTGCTAAATTTTTGGTGCAGGAAACAAGACACCAACAGGGAAAAGCACAGCTTTGAGCGCTTAACAGAGGACAGAGTTTCTAAAGTGAAATTCTGCTCTGTAATGCAACACCTGGCAGAGATTCCAGGATTCTTGGCCAAGATTAAGCAAATATTCGGTGCTTATAAAAAAGGTTACAGCTCTTTTATCTTTTCCTGGGTCTTTTTTGGCTCTGTCAGATAACAGTTCCCACCAGTGGGACCAGAACCCAATAATATAAAAACAATTATTATGTATCTATTATATATGGGTGTATTATATGTATATAATATACTATATTATATATTTATATATTATATAGTATATAAGATATGTTTTTATATATTATGTATTATATATCATATATATTATATATATATTTATGTATTATAATATATATTATGTACACATATATATGTATATATACGTATACATATATTATATATACAATGTATAATGGATAAATATAACATTATAAATAATATATTAGTACCCAATAAAATAATATAGAAACATATTATAATAACATTTATATTAATTGTTATTAATTATATAATAATACTATATTATACTGATTGTATTATAATAATATAATAATAATCAATTAGAAATACCGACTAAAAGTCACATTTCAAGCCATTGAGGTGCCATCTTCTTTACAGTTGTGCACTGCAGGAGAGAAAACACAGCAGGAAAAAAAAAAATCAGTTCAATAATAACTGGAAATTTCCTGTTCTGGTTCTTCATCTGCACAGACTTACAGCTTGCTGGATGCTCCAAGAGGAATTCCCAGTCCCCCACCACCAGAGAACTTCCCTGAGCTTTGTCCCGTGGCATCCTTGGACCTCTTTGACGTCATTCTCAAAGGTAGCTGGGCACGGAACCTCTTTTCCTTGGAAACCTCCTCCCTGACCCCAGCCCAGGCAGGAAGCAGGGCAGCAGACGTGGGGATTTGAGGCTGAGATCTGTTGGTTCGTTGCCTTGCAGGGAAATGCTGAGGACTCTCCTCCCCCAACTCCCCCCACGCTCCGGCTGCTGCCCAGGGACAACCAGAGCACAGGCAGGACGAGTCTCCAGCTGGGAATATCTGCAAACTAAGGACCGGGGGGAATCCTCCCGGCAGGTCTCACCAGGATTAGGAATTCAGTGTCGGGGAATGAATGGGCCTCAATTTCCTCACCAAGCCGAGCTCTCGTGCTTCTCTCCTGAAGTCTGAGTTGGAGCTGTTCTGCTGGCTCATGGTTGTTGATGTGGGTGCCTAATTTAAGATAAAGACCTCCTTGTTTTTAGCCATCCAGGGCCTAGTCTTGAGGGTTACCAGTGTAAGATTTAGTCTCTACACTCTGAGTTTAATGTTCAGATGTGCTGAAAGTCTCAGGCAATCTGTCCTTTCAAACATGAGCTCTGGGAATTCAGAGTCTGATGAGCAGCATTTAATACTTTCTGCAGTCTGGCTCTGAATTTGTCCAAGGGTTGTCACTCTTTAAGGCAGTCCTATCAGAAAACCTCTCCAAAATAAAACATACACACTCTTACTGAGCATGTTTTTTTTCAACAAAAATCGAGCTTTTTTTATTTATGCAATCAGAATTTGTACCAATGATGGATTGTAGGTGAAGTCTGGGACAAAATATTTGGAATTGGTTCCTTTCACTCTGGGTGATCTAACAGAGGATTTTGCCTTTATAAAATTTAAATTTATAAAATTTAAATATGTAATAAACACTTTTCAAGGATTGCTCTTTATACAAAGCAATTTTGCAAGTTAGAAGGATGATGAGGAGCTTAACTTACCCTGTGCTGACAGAAAATCAGGTTATTCGGTAGAATTCCTATAAATTAGCTCACTTAAAAGGATTATTCCTTCCCAGACTTCCTACCATTTAATTTGGACTTCTGATTGCGAGGCAGCTGGTTTCTATGAAACTTCCCTGTTTGCTACATGTGGAGCAATGTACTTTTACAGAACCTAAACCCAAAAAAACCCACTGATCCAGCGCTGGCTCACGTGTGTCCCCTCCTGGTTTTCCAGGGAGATTTTCCACGTGGAACCACTGCAGGATCCAGTGTTAAGTACTCAGCATGTTTGGGGACCATTTTTTTAATGAAACCCTTTGCATTTTCTTCCTGTAAAAAAGGTTACTTTCGTGCTACTGGGTATCCTTTGGCGTTGAGCTCCAAGAGCTACGTTGCACAAGGTGAATTAGCTTTTGCTGCCAAATGGCAGAGTTTGAGTTAATTCCACTGGGGTTTGGGGCATGTCCTATGACTCTTATGCCCTGAACAGCTAAACAGTTCTCTTTTGTGTTTCCTCTAGACTGAATGAGGCACAATACTTCAAAATCTTCCAGTATTTCATTAGAAATATAGAGAGAATTTGTTATTCAGGTGATGAGTTGCATAACCCTATGGAATAATCATTCCTCTCCTTCCATAACTGTCCCTCATGTTTCAGTCATGTGAAGCCTTTTCTTTGTTTTCCTTTTTGTCCTGGTTTTTACTTGGAAACACAAATATTTTCCTCTCTGATTATTTTTCCCCTTTCGTTCTTCCTTCCTGTTTGCACTTGAACTCCCATCTGTTCTCGCAGAGATTTTTATTCCTTTGAAGACAATTAATGAGGACCTTCCAGGTTACTCAGCTTCTATTTGTGGGATTTAGGGATCAGATCCTACACCCATGGAAGTTCAAGAGTCCTTATTTTTAGTATAAACTAAGAAATTCTACATCACATACAGAGCCAAGGCTGAAGCAGTGAGTTGAACAGATAAAGAAGTGCATCAACAAGCATTTTCAGGGAAGAAAAATTATTCTCCTCACAGGATATCTTTAAAGAAGCACAGAAAACTATCATCTAGATCACAATATTAAGTTCTTTTAGTCACCATTCAGGTGAAAGGACAGGAACCTTCAGCTACTCATAGATATCATTTATTCAATATATTCAAAGATGAACTTGCTTCTAAAGTATATTCTACAAGTTATCCAGTAATTGCATTGATGTTAGTAGGTTGCTTTACATTGTTTCATTGTTCCTTCCTGTCAATAAATATATTATTTCATGCAGTAACTTGGTTTTTTGTACTGGTGTGTCCATCCTGCCCTCACAACAGAAGGGACCATCATGGGAAGAGCAAATTAAGCAGAGTTTAAAAGCTGACGAGTGTCTAAAGGTGTTGTTTGGCTTCTGAGAGCACAGAAAGCAACAGCATTATCACAAAATTTGGGGGAGGGGATTCATTTTTTAAAAATGAGAAATTTGAGAACCCTCTTTCTTTTCATCACCTCTAATTAGGAGCCAGACAAATTACTGTGGAAAAAAAAACCAAAACAACAAAGTCCAAGCAGCTCATCTGTGTCTGTGAAACATCCAAAAAACAAATTGCAGGGGGGACAAGTGGCATTGAAAAGGGGTGAAAATATCGGGGAAGATATTTTATGCATTCCTGGAGAAGCTCCTTAAATGTTAAATTGGAAGAGTAAAAACAAGACAAGAATGAGAGAAGAGAGGGGGTTTTGGCCCAGATTTTCAGCAGCGCAAAATTCCACAGAGGCTGTTGCAGAGCAGTAACTCTGGAAGGTGTCAGAAGCAGAACAGCTCCTCTGGGAGCTGCTTTCAATAGCTGGGGATGGCAGAAATCCTCCAGCATCCTCCTTTCCCACCACTCCTGCCAAATGGAATAACAGCACCCAAGTTCTTGGCACAGGGGTGTCCCAATCTGCAGGGATCCAGCTGATTTCCAAGCCTGTCACCCCGGCCTGGTACCACCCCCCAAGGTTGACCACAGCAGAAAATCAACCTCCTGGTTTGTTTTTATCCTCCAGAACGTGTCCTTGAAATCAGGATTTGCTGCACAGTCACAGTTACTGCATCCAAGATTCCCCCAGGCTGCTGGATTTTGCTTGAACAAGCCATCACCTCCCAGAGCCCAAAAACCTCAGCTGAGAAGCACAGGAACTGCTGCCCATGAAAACAGATAATGTCAAACAGAGAACAATGCCATGATTGTAAGGAAACCACAGACAAGCAAAGAAAATAAATTATATTACCAAAAAAAAAAAAAAAATTCCTTCTAACAGGCAAACAAAAAGAATTCAACCTTTTCAGATGAGGAACCAAGGGGGGTTGGGCGCTGAAGAAAACCCTCCACAGCCCTTTTGAGAGTGTGGATCAACAGCTGCCATTCAAGAAGAAACATGAACATTTCCTCCACACAACCCCTTATCCCACTTCCCATAACTCCACTTCTCTCCCCACGTGATGACAACCAGGCTGCACTGCAAGCAGAGCTGGAGGAGCCAAGTTTCTGAGCCAAGTGAGAGGGAGAGGCTGAGCTCTTGGCAGATTGGGATTCTTTCAGAGCAGTCTCACCCATCGAGTTTTATTTTTCCTGCTTTCTTTGTGGCTGGAGAAACTTGGAAGCCGAAGGGTTCAATTTAAACCCAGACATGTTTCTGCAGCTGTGTGGAGCAGAGCAGAGGAAATAAATTTAGGGAAGGGAGTCCCACTGACTGAAAAACCGAGGGTTCTCAAGCACTTTTAAGAGGGATCACAGTGGGGAGAGGCAAGAAAGAGAAAAGTGGGCAGCAGAGCTCTCAAGCTGCAGAAATCACCAGGACCCAGATTGTCCCAAACACCACCAGGAGCTGCAGTTCAGTGCTGAGCCTCATCACACTCACTTCATCAGCCTGTTTACCCAAAAATTTCACTTGTGCTGAAGCCAAGAATGCAGTTCAGCATCTGGAAGCTGCAGGACCTGCCCTAAAGAAATCCCTTCTGGCTCGGGACTGAGCGGGCTGGACTTCCAGGCATCCCAGATACTCACACCCACCTTGGCTTCAGTGGCACGGTTTTGGGGTTCACTCGGCTCAGCAGCAAGAGACTGGGCTCAGAGGTGGATAACACATCACTTCTGAGGGATAAACCCCCCAGAAGGTGTTACCCAGTTGCTCTCAGGAGGGCCCCAGGCACTGCTCTGCTCCCTGCTTGGCCATACCAGCTGTTACACCCATGAGAATCCTGCCTGGGTAGGTCCCAGCTCTTCATTATCTCTGTTTGGTATCTCTAACTATCATCACCAGCCAAGTCAGTTTACAGAAGTCTTGTTTTTTTTAACAAGCACAACGAGATCTCCAAACACAAACCCTGAAACGTGTGTGGTGTGATAAAGCAGGGGCAGAAACCATCCCAGCACCACTTCAGGAACCCAGAGAAACTCTCAGTGCAGGTCTGAAGGAGAGGAAGCAGAAGGAATTAACACAAAAATCCGGTGGCAGATTTTAAATATTAAGTTTGGCTCGGGTTTGCTCTGTTTTCAACAAAACCCCCCTGGATCCCTTTGCTGCTGCTGAGTAACCAGTTTTTGAATCCTTCACAATTACCTCTAGAAAGGTATTCGCAGCTAATTGGCTGCTGGAGGCAGAGAAACACACACTAACCTGCCTTCAAAGGTCCACACAGGGGCCAAAAATATTTTTCATCCTCACAAACCCTGAGACTTGAAGTGTTTTTGAGCCCCCTGAAAAACTCCAGTTGGAATTTTCTCCACCACGCTCTTCCTGCATCTCTTTGTGCCTCCTCCCTTAAGCAGGACTAAAAGGTTTGCTGAAAGGCTGTGCTGAAATCACATCTCAATGAAGCAACAAAGAGCTGCCTGCTAGAAAGGCTCTAGGAAATGCCAGTGAGCAGGAATTAATCCACCAGGGGTTTAAGTGGCTGGACAGTTCCTGATTTGGTTTTCTGGTGCTTCCAGGTGCACTCCTGGTTGTCGGGACCTTTCCATTTCCCTGGAATCATTACTCACCTCCCAGGCAATGCCTTGGCTGATGTTACAGCAGATAAGGTTCTGCAGAACCCAGCAGTTCTTCGAGTTCACAGCCAGGCAGTGTTTGCTCAGGTGGAGCTGTGAAAGTCCATCTTGGTGACATTTGTGTCTGTAACAGGGGTCAGAACAGAGCACTTTTATCTCCCCTGTCCACAGCAGGTCTTTCAAAAAAACACTTGTTTGTTTGAAACCAAAAATCTCAGCTGCATCCTCTCCCAGGTTAAATAAACTTTGGAGTTTAATTCCCTGAGGAAGCACTGCTGTATATCCCCCATCACCTCCTCCCCCAGGATCAGCTCCAGAGGTGCTAATTTATGTCATCCAAGGTTTTAATCCCTCTACGAAACGTTGCCATTGCAAAAATACAGCCACAGAGGCAAAGTGAAAATAAAATAACTTCCAGTCACTGAATTGTCCCTGGGACTTGAAAAAAATCCAAGCTCTTTGGCCTATACCCTCATTTGTTTAAATTTAAATTGTGATTCAGCTGGCTTTTGGGGATTACCTCAGAATAACCAGTCTTTGTGTTTGTTTTCCACCACAGCAAGCGAATCCCAAGTGCCAGAAGTTCTCTGCCCATTCAGTTCCCCAAAAAAGAACTTTATCCTTTTTTGGGAATCAAATGATCAGAAACTAGAAGAGAAGTAAAGAGGGTAGGGGAAAAAAAAAAGATAAATAAACCACAGAAGGCATGGAAAGAGGAAGGGAAATGAAAAGAGAATCTTGCTCGTGCTGGATCCCTTTCACAGCCCCAATACAATCAGGGGTAGTGACAAATAACCCTACAAAGCCACAGGTTGTGCTGGTGTGTTAGAGACACATTTTATGTGTTAAAGCCCAAGATAAGCTGCAGTTTTTAGATGTATTCAGTCCTCTGAGAGTCAGTTGGGGGCAGTGCCACCAAGAGACATCCCAGCTGTCACTGCCCAGCCTTTCCCTGGAAGCCACGAAAACTATTTCAGCACTGACATAAACTTCTCTTCAAAAAAAAAAAAACCTCCCTTGATCATAAACCAAGTGTTATCTAAAGGTAACCAGCTTCTTTAGCAGAGCCAAAGGCTGCTGTAAGTAATATCTGGAGAATAATGTTTATGTGGGGAAAAAAAATAATAGCCTGATGTAACTATGGAGTAGGTTCATCAAATATTTGCAGAACAATCTGCTCCACCTGTGGCTCTCCTTGCTTGGAAACCTGCAGTAAACTTCACAGAGAAATAAGACCCAAAATTTGGCTTAGCTGACTTACTAACCATGGGCCTTACAGACATACCTGCACCTACTTATTCAGATAGCATGAAATTAAAATAATAAATAATTCTTAAGCCCCGATGCCCAGGAAAAAAAAAATAACTCAAAACAACGTGCAGTTTGTAACATGAATATGGTGAAAGAGACTGAAAATACCAGTGATTAAGTTCAGCAAGGGCAAAAAAAAATGGCACTCCCAACCCAAATAATTACAGGAGTTAAAAAATCGTGTGTGCATGAGAGATGTTTTTACAAGTTGCAGAGTAGAGCGGTGAGAGACTGTTTTGCTCTGCTTTGCTCCCTTCAGGAGCTGTCACAGAAGGTGTGAATTCTCCAGTTTCTGTGTTCAATAATAAGGTGTTTTTAGAGGTTATTTATCCAATAGGCTGCTCGTTTTTCCATCTTCTCTAAAAATTAAATAGAAAAACTGGGCTTTGTTGTGTTTATTCTGTCCCTTTGCTGGAGTGGGACGTGAAGGTAGGTGATGATTAAAGGGGCAGCAGGTCAGCCAGGCCTTTGAGGGTGACTCAGGCATTAATTCTGGGACTTGTTCAGTCACAAAACATTTTATGGGGCTGTTGAATCCCAACCCCTGCCAGGAAAACGACAGCTTGACACACAGAGCAGTGCTGTGTACCAGTTCTGGGGAAAAGGGGAGTTGTGTATCTGCTTCTCACAGCCATCAGTTCACAACCTGAGACTCCAATTCTACTGGAGTTTATTTAACCTATATTTATTTTATTTAAATATTTAACCTATATATTTATTCTATTATTCTATTCTGTTTATTTAACCTGGACCCATCACCACTGGACACTGCTCAGGGTAGAAACAGCAACCAGATAAATGACTCCAAAAATACTTCCTCCTGTGGCTCCCTGAGTGAAGGAAGGCTCCTGATTGCCCCTGCTGTTCTCTGCCTGTGGAACCCAAAGCCTGGGGGAATCTCTGTGGTCATTCCCAGAGGCTGAGCTCTGCCAGACCCAGGGCTGGGAGCCTTGCCCAGCCTAATCTCCACTGAAATAAAACCTTCCAGCAGCAGAACTTCCAGGCTTTGCAGCAGAATGCAGAGCCCTGCAGCCGAAATGCAAACCAGCAGAATTTCCTGGGTGTGCTCTGAGATGGAGCAGCAGAGCAAAGCCCTGCAGGGGACAGGAGACAGGCAGAACCACAGCCACAGTTCCTGCATTCCAATCTGTTTTAGGCAGGACCTCTGCACAGGATTTCTCCAATGGGGGCAATTCCAGGCACGCTCAGAGGCAGAGATCTCTGTGCTTGGGGAATGCAAACCCAAACAAGGGGCTGAGTTTGGGCACTTCCAGCTCAGGCAGCCACAGAGTGGGAATGGTTTGGGTTGCAACTGGAAGCACAGGCAGCTCAGATGGAATGAAATCCTGCTTTAAGAACTCAATTAGAGTGGATATTCTCTTGCACATTCCCCTGCAGAACACATCCTTTGGCTGGAGAGCTCAGGCATTGCTGTGGGTAAAGACCAACTAATCCCTCCCTGGAACATCAGAGCTTTGCCAGAGGAGCAACAACAACAACTTCTGGCAGGTGGATATTGCCAGTTAAGACACAGTCCTAACTTTTGCACAAAAGATAAATAAATATCTCCTCTCTCTGAAAATCACTCTCTTGCTTCTCATTTTTGACTAGCCAGTGGAACGATGCCTGCCCTTCCAAATACACCAAAATATGTAAACCACTCATTTATTGTGTCCTTAGGAAAAAAAAAAAATCTACCCAGCTGCAGGTCTTTGAACTGGTATGGGAAGGACCTTTGAGAAATGTGAACATTTCCTGGTGCCCCAGAGGGGAGGGACGTGAAAATGTCACCCAGAAATGCTCTGCAATGTTTTTGTAGGTAATTCATCAGACAACAGAAGGCTCTGGGAGATACAGAACATGGGGGCACAGGCAGGCAGGGGCTGGGATAGCTGGGATATTGTGAGGGCAGGGCTTCAGGAGTGCCCATCAGTGTAAAAAGTGGCATTAATTCCCCGTTCCCCCAGCCCTGCAGGGCCAGGCTGCCCTCTGCTGTGGGAAGGGTGCAGGGCTGGCAGGAGCCCTGCCTGGTTTTGTCACCTTTAAAACCCCCCAGGAGGAATGAAAAAAAACAGAGAACCTTCCAAACCAGGTCCCTGAACTGCCTTCCAGGGTCTGCCACAGGTCTTGACAACCAGAGGGGGCAAACCAGCCGTGAATAATTGCCTTTTTTTTTATGATGAACACCAAAAAGACACCAACTTCCTGACAGCTTTTTGTGCTCTTCATAAACTATGCAGCCCACCCCAAAAATAAACCCCAACTGATGATCCCTGGTGGCAAATGAGGATTCCTGGACTTCCAAACTCACGGCTGCTGTAGGGACCCAGAAACTTCCCATCACAAAGTACAGGAGCAAATTGTCTCAAAGTGGTCATAAATAAACACTTCTCTGGGCTGCAACAGCCCTATTCCATGTGAATATTCTTCAGATTGGGCAGAGAGCAGCTCCTGTGGGGCAGTAAAACAGGGCTCAAATAACCCCCATGAATATTTCACACCAACACATCAGCACGTTTGAACTTTCACTGCCCATTAAATATTCAGCAGCCGAAAGGAAAGCTCTCCTTGGCTGGTACTCACCCACATTTGGCAGTTCCAGCTCCTCCATCCCACACATCCATGGCCTTTTTCCTCTTCCTTTTCTCTCTTTTTTCACTCTTGCCTCGTGACAATGGGGAGATGCAGCTTCCGAGCCACGAGGACTGTCAAAGTGGAATTTACTGCAAAAGAGGAGAACAGAGTCTGCCAATCTGTCCAGCAGGTATTTGTAGATAATTTACCAGAGATTCTTTGCTTCTCAGTCACTTACTGCTCTATAAAAATGCAGCCAGGCTTTAATTTTGCTCAGTGCCACCAGCAGTTCTTAGATAATGGATTGGGCTTGGTGAAATTCGTATTGTACACAGGTACATGGCTTAAACAACAAATGCAGAGCGGTGAATTTTATTGTCATAAGATTTGCAGATCAGAAGAGTTCCTTTCTGTGCTGTTTGTTGAAACAATGCTGGTACGAGGGAATATTTTGGTTGAAGCAGGGTTCATTTAACTGATTCGGGTATTTAAACCGGAGGGACGCTCCTTCACATCTACAGAATAAGCTGATTTACCTGAGAAAGACTGACGAGGCCTTCTGTTGCTGTTGTCCAAAGGCTTTCTGTGCCCTGGAGGGAACGTCACCCCCGTGCCGTGTCCCCCGGGGAGGTTCCGGCCGGCGGGAGCAGCGCCGCTGCCACAGGGCTGCCTGACGTGCCCAGTGGGCTTCTTCAACCCCAGGCCTGGCCAAAAAGCCTGCCTGCCCTGTGGCTCGGAGGCAGAGCAGCCCCTGGAAGGGCAGGAGACGTGCGTGTGCCTCGGGAAAGGTCGGGTGTTCCAGGTACGGGAGCAGCTCAGCCCCGTTCGCTCTCTCTCCACATCCCATCCCCACAGGGACAGCAGATTGTGCTGGTTTAAAGGGAAACCAGCAGGGGAAAAGAACCCAACTCAAAAGAGAGATTATAAGTCAGAATAACAACTTAATAAAATAATACAATAAGTACGATTATACAGACAAACAATTGGTTTTAACCCACAAAACCCGAATGTATAACCCAGCACCCTGGGGCAGGAACAGAGTGGTGTTGGTTGGGCCCCCTGAGCCCAAAGAAAAGGGAGAGGGGGAAAACCTGTTGGTGAGAGTGCTGGTGCAGTCTGGTCAAGAGTGGTGATTGCAGTCCAGTCGAGAGCGGTGGTCTCAGTCTGGTTGAGTGGTGATCTGCAGTCTTCCTCTGGATCCCACAAGTGCTTAAAAAAGTCCCAAGACCCCAAGATTATATATCCTCCAGTTCAGGCAGGAATGCCCAGTGCCTCCCTCAGGGCGGGGAGTTCCACAAAGGGTGTGAGGACAGGAGCATCCTCCTGTCTCCCAGTTTATTAGCCTGAGGGGTCAGGAGTACTCTGGGGTTTGGGTTACACCCATCCAGTGATGAACTGGTCCCAGCTGTTCTAACTAGGACACAGATCTACATCTATCCTGGGTTTCTCGGGGCCACATCAACCACTGGGAGGTTTGGGGGGGTCTGTGGCCACTGAAGCTCCCCCTGAGCTCGCTCAGATGAGGAGCAGCCCCGGTGCAGATGCTGTTCCATCCCTGCTGCAGGTTCCTAAAGGAGCCCCTGGTTTCCTTTGCAGCCCCGTGATGCCCAGTGCACCTGCCCCCCAGGGCACCAGAGCTCCTCAGGGGATGGAAGACACTGTGTCAGACA